ATATGTCTGCTTGGTTTGCCATTACCAGTTTATATTTCTGAAATTGGAAGTGTCACAGGATCTTAATTCGAGTGATTGAAAATTGCTCACTTTGACCTCAGGACTTTCAGGTCATACGCTGCACAGATGTTCCAGTATACTATGCCTGCCATTTAGTTATGGCATTTCATGTATTCCTGTCCTTCCATGATGGTTTCTGTTCTTACCTCTCTTCTTTTTTGGGTTTTTCCCAAGATACTCAGAACATCCGTCGCAGCCATCTTGTTGATGTACTTCAGCATCTTTGCTTCTCTTAGTTTATGGCTTTGGGATGAAACCTTCCATACATGGAAAGGAGTTTTCATATCTTGATATCAGTGGCTTATATTCTCCCCTTTCCCAAGTTATTATCCCAGCATTGTAACTGATGATGGGCAGGGCATGCACTGATTGCCCTTACCCTTTTCCTGCCATTCAGCTGACTCTTCAGGATTTGCCTTACCCTTTGCAGGTACTTGGTGGTGGCAGCTTTTCTGGCATCTTCTTCATTGGATTTTCATTCGCCTGTAGGATTCCAAGGAACTTGTAGCTGTGTCTCATTTTGGTAGTTCAATCCCCTTAGTTCAGACTACTCTGGTTGTGTTGCATCCTTCTACCATATGCTCTTCCAGTATTGCTTTGCTCCAGACTTTAACATGGTGGTGTTCTGCTACACTGAGAGCACACTTTGGATGGTTCATTGGAGACTTTCTGGTTTATCCTTTAGACTTATACTTAGACAGATTTATTTTGTATACACAAGTGTATACAAAAAGAAATTTTGTTTAAAACAGCTCTAGACAATTACATTTTTAAAGTGCAGCCTTGAAAACAGTAATATAAACATATGACTGTATGTTTACAGCTCTAACAATTTTTTAAATATATATAAATTAAATAACCCATTTCACACAACATTCAGCAGTCTAATGGTAGTGGGGAAGAAACCTGCATAGGATGCTTCAAAGCCTCTTCCAAGAGGGCAGCAGGGAGAACAGTCCATGGTGGGGGTGTAAGGAGTCATTTATGATGTTACAGGCTTGGGACACGCAGCACTGGGATGAAATGTCTTTAATGGAGGGAAGAGGAGCCCCGATCCTCTCTGTTGTTCTTACCACTCATCTCACCTTCTTCCAGTCTGAGGTGCTGCAGCCTCCACACCACACACTGAGACAGCTGGTTGGAACGCTCTCTATGGTGCTTCTGTAGAAGGCCGTGAGGATGGGTGGGGGCAGGTGGGCTCTACTCATCCTCTGCAAGAAGTACATTCGCTTCTGTGCCCTTTTGACCAGTGAGGTGGTGTGTACATTCAGGATGAGGGTGTCTGTGATGTGCACCCCCAGGAATTTGGTGCCGTTGACCACTTCTACAGCTGAGCGTGGTTAGGCCGGTTCTTCCTGAAGTCCAAGATGATCTCCTTTGTGTTTTCAACATTCAGGATCAGGCTGTTATCTTTGCACCAGTCCACCAGCTGCTCCACCTCCTCTCTGTAGTCCAGGATCTGTGGTCTCTGATGAAGCCCACCTCCGTGTTGTCGTCTGCAAACTTCACGATGTGATTGGTGGTGAACCTGGGGACGCAGTCATGTGTCATCAGGGTGAACAGCAGGGGGCTCAGGACGCAGCCCTGAGGGGAGCCTGTGCTTAGGATGATGACATCAGAGGTGTTCTGTCCAACCCGACTGACTGAGGTCTGTTGGTGAGGAAGTCTAGCAGCCAATTGCAGACGGGTGTATTGAAGCCCAGCTGTTCCAGTTTGCCCATCAGATGATGGTGTTGAAAGCTGAACTGAAGTCGGTAGGCGAATTGGAACAGGTCGAATGTTGGTGGCAGACTGGGGATGATGTGTTCTTTCACCAGCCTTTGGAAGCACTTCATCATGATTGGAGTCAGTGCGACAGGCTGGTAATCATTTACTGAGTTGACCTAAGGCTTCTTTGGGACTTGAATAATGGTGGCAGACTTGAAGCATGCAGGTACTATGGATTGGTCCAGCAAGGTGTTAAAAATGTCTGAGAGGACACCAACCTGCTGATCTGCACACTCCTTATACACCCGCCCAGGTATGTTATCAGGCCCTGGGGCCTTCCTTGGATTGACTCTCCTCAGAGTTTTCCTCCCTTTAGCTACGTCCAGGTTTAGTGTCTCCTCCCCCTGGTGTGGAACAGCTTTCACTGCTGGAGTGCTGTTTAGTGCCTCAAACCTTCCAAAGAAATTGTTCAGTTAATTTAGGAAGTTAGTGTTTGCTGCATCTACTGGGGGGACGGTGTGTTGTAGTCCGTGATCATCCGAAGGCCTTTCCACATCCTCCTGGTGTTGCTGTCGTCATGGAAAAGATCCTGGATTTTCTGGCAGTGGTTCTGCTTCGCTGATCTGATGGCACAGTTTAAGTTGGCATGCATTGTTCTTAGTGCTTCTTTATCACCATACTTGAAAGCTGAGTTCCGTGCTTTTAGCGACTTCCGAACCTCTCCATTTATCCATGGTGGTTGGTTGGCCCGGGTGGTGATGTTCTTTTTGACGCTGACGTTCTCTATGCATTTGTTGATGTAGGCTGACACAGTCATAGCATACTCATCAATATTTAATAAGTTATCATATGTTGCTGCAGCTTTGAAGATGTTCCAGTCAGAGCATTCAAAACAGTCTTGGAGTGTCTCTATGGCGCACTCAGACCACACACGGACCTCTTTAACTGTTGGTTTAGCCCTGATCAGGTGGGGCTTATATGCAGGGATAAGCATGACAGAGAGATCATCTGTTCGAGTATTGATGTTAGAGTAAACCAGGTCTAAAATGTTTTCACCCCGAGTTGCAAAGACCACATTTTTGGTAAAAATGAGGGATAACAGTCTTCAAGTGAGCCTGGTTAAAATCACCAGCAATGATGAAAACACCCTGTGTGTGCAGATTGGAGCTCAGAGATAGCCTGGTATAGAGTCTTCATGGCCTCTGTTGTATTAATGCTTGGGGGCAACCTGGGCTGGGGGTAACCACCATTCTCATCATCCATTCTCTCGGATTCTGTTACACCTCAGCAAAGACTGATGCTCTTTGCTTGTTTTTTTCTAAGGCCTCAAGTATCATCAGCTTATTGTACTGCTTAACTTCCCTTTGTGTAGCTCGATCTCAGCCTTGTTTCCTTGGAAGATACTGCTTTATGTGGCTGTTTATACAAGCAAATCCTCTTAAAAACAAAGTTAAAAAAGTTGGCAC